TTTTCTTCGGAAAAGACCTTTTATTGTCACAGAGCAAAAGGATGTTTGACACCTGGAAAGGTAAGAGGCTAGACAGAATGGGAAGAGTCAAAGATCTATAGTCAGATGCCACCTCCGTGCCTCAGGTCCTCACTGTGATGTCAGGACAACAACGCTGATCCAGCAGGACAGCACGGGGGATCGGCTGAGAGAATACGCAAGGGAGGACCTTTCAGCTGTAACTCATTGGGGGAGAGATTTTATAGAAAGTATTACCTACCATTTATTGTGAGCCTCTCACATGCCAGGCACTTTCCCACGCTTTATATACTGTATTTCATTTAATGCTCAGGCAAACCTGTATGGGAAGGACAGCTTTATTACCCCATTGCACACAGGAGGAAAATGAGACAGGTGCATAACCTGCCCGATCGTGGGCACAATGCTGAAAGTGGCAGAATGGGGACTGGGACCCGGGCCTGCCTGGCCCGCAGCTGTCTCTGCGGTGAGACGAGCAGAGGAGGGCACGCCCCACAGTTCCGCTGCGATCCTGTGCTGGAGCCATCGCTGCCCTCCACGTCCCGCTCTCCGGGAGATGAACAGCAGCCTCAGCAGAGACGGCCCTCAGGCCAAAACGGTCCTGACAAGACCCCAGCCGAGAGTCAGAGGGCACTTTTGTCAATCTTTGAGAATGGGCACAATAATCCTCATATGGACGTGACACTTGTCTATTTCAGAGCTGTTTCCATCCGTTCTCTCTTTTGCCCTGACGGGAGCCCTGTGCTGTGGGAGACGCCATGACCCATCGGGGAGGAGGGTGTCGAACAGCACACTACGTATTGGGACAGAGGAAACGAACTCAGGGTGCCTGGTTCCCAAATCATTGGAAAAGGGCATGTTCCCTCCTTACTCGAAAAGGATCTGATCTTTAATGTGAAAAAGACCTGGCTTTGAATCCTGGCTTTTCCACGTTATAGCTGTGCAGCGTTGGTTAACACTTCACTTCTCAGACGCTCAGTTTCTTCATCTTTTATTGTTTAATTTTTTAATTTTTTTTGAGGAAGATTAGCCCTGAGCTAATATCTTCCGCCAATCCTCCTCTTTTTGCTGAGGACGAGTGACCCTGAGCTAACATCCGTGCCCATCTTCCTCTACTTTATATGTGGGACGCCTCCCACAGCATGGCTTGGTGAGCGGTGCTTAGGTCCACACCCAGGATCCAAACCGGCGAACCCCGAGCCACTGAAGCAGAGCGCGTGAGCTTAACTGCTGTGCCACTGGGCTGGCCCCAGTTTCTTCATCTTTTAAAAGGCATCATAAACAGAGATAATAATGCTTACATCCTAGGACTGTCTTGAGGACCAAATAAGGTCATTGAGAATATTAGAAATGTCCACCACTGCCTCCTCCTCCCTCTAAGGCAGGGTACCCCCTTCTGTCACCCCGTCCTTGGTGTTCTCTGGTCTACATATCATCCCCCTCCTACCCACTTGTCCACTGACTGGACCGAGGTGGGCAGTTAAGTCAAAGAGTAGTTAGCTGACCTCAAGGAATCCATCGGTTTCCTGAACTGAGTCATTTGGTGATTTAGTTTTTCACTGAGAACTGAATTTTTTATTTTATTTAATTTTAATTAATTTTAATTTTAATAGCCAGAGGGAGTTAGTGGCCTCCATATTTAACAGCTCAGGCCGATAGGTTTAGTCTCCGGAGAGGGTTAAAACAGAAGTCAAAGAGCTGAAAAAAATTGGGGAGGTTTTCATCTCCTGGGGAAAATTAGCACGCCAAAGCGGCAGTAGAGTCAGAGAAAAGCGAAAGAAAGAGAAAGGGAGGAAAGGGTAATGCCGGAAGGTAGGCAAGCTCTGGTTGGGAGGTGGAGGTGATTGTGAAGGGCAGACAGTTTCTGTCCTGACGTCCACACCAACGTCCCCATGTCAGGAGAATCCAACAGTGAAGTGTTAAAAGGCACTTCCGGCTCTACGGAGAGCTCGGCCTACGGAGCGCCTGCTACCATAAAACCGATACAGTCTGAAAGATACAGTTTTTATCTTATTCCCGGGCTTGCAAGAAGTGGTGGTACGCAACTCGTCCACGCCCACCCTCACCCTCTACCAAAGATCTGACACACAGCGGAGAGTGAGCAGCACAGGAAGAGGGCAGGGTCAGCCGCTGGCAAACGCTGACGTCAACCGCAGGCCAAAGCAAAGTAACCAGGTGGAGAGATGAGGTCTGGGCTTCTAGCAGGGGCTGAGGTTTGCATAGGTGGGTAGCACCCTCTGGCTCTCAGCAAGAGCAAATGCAATTCCTCTCTGGAGAAAAGCCTCTTCAATTTGGCTTCTCAGATTTCCACAGACGAAGATTGACAAAATGTAAGCTCTCAGTAAAATGCAACCAAACACACAAGAGAGCAAACCACTATGAGCCAGAGGCAGAAGAAACAAAGTACACCAGATACAGACCTTCGGAAACTTTAAGTGTTGGAATAATCATCTATAAATGCAAAATAACTATGTATAAAATCCTTAATTCGCAGAAACAAGCATGCAATGGGCAAACTATCAAAAATGAAATGGTAGCTCTGAAAAGGAATTAAATATAACTTTTATAAATAAAAATTATTATTATTCAAATGAAATCCGGTAGATAAACAGAAGAAGAGAGAATTTGTGAAATAGAAGATAGAGGTGAAGAAACTAAACAGAATACATCCCAGGGAGAATAAAAGATGATAAATAAGAAAGATTAATAAATAACGACTAGAGGTTCCAAATAAAGATGGTAAATTAAGAGCATATGTCTAACTTTACTCCTTTCCCAAAACCCATTAAAACTACAGTAAAGGGATTTTTTTTAAATGATAGAAGCCCACGAGGATGGGCAGAATATGAGAGAAGAAACAATAGAAGTAAACTTTTGGAAAAGGGAAGGTAGACAAACAAATGATAACAGAGTTATTAGAACTAAGAAAGCCAAATTCTACATTGGTGGTGAGGAAATCATCGAATCTACCCAACTTGCTGGTAAAACAAACACAGTGAAAGGAGAAGGAAGGACATGATACAGAGCATAAATTAGTAGAACAGGGAGTGAAGCCACAATAGAGAGGAACTATTGGGGCTGGCCTGGTGGCATGGTGGTTAAATTTGTGTGCTCCACTTCAGCAGCCCAGGGTTCGTCGGTTCAGTTTCCAGGCGTGGACCTAAACACCACTCATCAGGCTGTGCTGTGGTGGCAGCCCACACACAAAATAGAGGAAGAGTGACACAGATGTTAGCTCAAGGCCAATCTTCCTCATCAAAGAACAAAAATAGAGAACTACCAACCCAAAAGTTCCTTGAAAAGACTGCTAGAAATGGATTAATCCCTTGTAATATTGAGAAGAAAAGAGAGAAGATATGGCCATACAAGAACAAAGGGGCACATCTACAGACAGGCAAAAGCTTTTAAGAGGTAGTAATAGGGTATTCTAAACTACTTTATGTCTATACATGAGAAGAAATGAAAAAGTTTCTAGAAAAGTATTGCTTATAAAACTAACTGAAAAAGAAATAGAAAATCTAAATAACCTTATAATTGTTAAATAGAAACAGTAGTCCAAAATCTTTCTGAAAAGAAAATAAAAGCCTCAGCTGGTTTCACGGGCATAGCAGTGTCTCCTTAAATGGAAGAACAAGTGTTGAGGAGAGCCAAAGCATTTTGAAGACAAACAGGACCAAGGAACTCGCTTTTCTAGCTTGCATGACTTGGGAAAACACTGAAGCAATTAGAACAGGATGGTTTTGAGGTCAGGAGAGTCAAATTGGCCAGTGGCACAGAGGAGGGAAACAGACCTACAAATGTATGGTAAGTTGCTACGTGGAGAAAGTGATGTTATGGATCATGGACGGATCGTTCAGTGAATGGTCCTGTGGTCACTGGTTATCCGTACAGGAAAAAGTGACAGACGACCCTTATTCTCATATAGAAAAATTAATTCCTGATGGATTAAAATCTTAAGTGTGGAAAACAAAGCTTTAAAACTTTCAGAATAAATTTGGAGGATCTTTATAACTTGGGACTTATTAAAAGTCTTTCTTAAAAAAGACAGAAAAAGTTCCGACCAAAAAAGAAGACTGATAAATCAACTACATTAATATCATCAAAAGACACTATAAAGAAAGAGAAAATACCAAATATCTTGGTGGCAGATAAGTGTAACAGATATAACCAACAAGGATTTAATCTCCAGATTATATATATTTTCAATTCTACACATCAATTAGGACAACCCAGTAAAAGCGGGAACAGGATACAAACAGGCATTTTACAGGAGAGGAAACACAAATTTTACAAATAAACATAGGAAAATATGATGAATCTCATTAGCAATCAGGGAAATGAAAACTAAGACCAATGCAATGAGACACTATTTTACCCATATTAGAGCAGTAAAGTTAAGGTAATAGCAGGTGTTTATGAGGATGTGGGTAATGGAAACTTCTAGTGAAATTTGTACATTCCCTTTGCAGACGATGCGGTGCTCTCCAGCAAAGCTGAACGTTTGCTCTCTCCGTGACCCGCCAATTCCGTTACGTCACACCTAGTGACGCTCTTGTACGTGTGCTGGGCGACACGCGAGGAGGCGAAAATGCGTAAGCCACAGCGATTTGCGTCAGCTCCGATGAATCTCATATTTTTTAATCAAAAAGAAAAACGTAGCTCAGATAGCATATGGTCTTTTCCTAAGGCTCAAAACAAGCAAGATGAAAAAATATTGTTTAAAAATTCATTAGAATGTGACAAAATATAAAAATAAAGCAAAGGAACAGTAAACAACTGAATTCAGAGCCAGGCTGACCCGCAGCGGGCCAGGAAACCACGTTGGGCAGGGGGTCCATAGGCGGACACAGAGCTCCAGGTCATATTTTAATTCTTACGTTCTTGGCAGGCTTTTATTATTTTATTACTTAGATATACATTACGTATACATTTTGTATTATCAAATATCACATAATAAAAATGCAAAGCTACTAGAGGAGTAATAAAAGTTATACAATTTATTTATTGGCTGTCATCTATGATGAGCTCCGAATGCAAGGGACCCCGGCATGTGTCGAGGCCTTCTCGGGTCCTGTTCCTGGAGGTCACAGCACATGGCTGACAGCTCGTGGCTGGTTGGCCCCAGGAGCCCCACAGAGTCCGGCCAGCTCCAGGGAGAGGCAAGGGGTAAAGCGGGGCATCCAGCCTCATGCAGAGGCTCCGGGCTGGGCCCTGCCGCGGCGCCTCCACCTGCGCCTCTCCTGGCCTCCTGTGGGAGTGAGTCCACTCTGCTCACTGTGAGCACAGCCAGCGGGCAGGAGACGGCAGGGTTCCCCCAGGAATCGTCAGGGAGGTGAACAACATTTGAGCCACGGTTTCGCCTGAGCAGGTCATGCGCAGGATGCGGGTCCAGCCCCGTGGAGAGTGAGGACACCACAGAACCGTGGGGGACCTCCGAAGTCAGGGCCAGCCTACAGACCCACTCATCTGTGCTCATGCTTCCAGGCCTCAGAGGCCGACAGAGGGGTTCTGACCGATATCCATGTAGCTGTCACAAGCATCTGGGGGCAGGGGATAAAGTTGGACCGCTTGGCCCAGTCAGTCCTGTGGTCTCCATTCAGAAAGCTCGGGCACGATGAAGGCTGAGGGATGAAAGACCACTGCCAGTGAGTGGGAGAGCTGGAGCCGAGGGGGGAGGAAGCCTGCCTGCCAGTTCTTGCTGTGCCTCTCCCAGCAGGAGGACCCGGGACGAGGTACTGGGCCCCAGTTTTCTCTTCTACTGGGAGGGGCTCAGGTATGCTCATCTGGGGGCGATTCACTCCTCCCAAGGGAGCCATTGACACGTGTAGGGGGACATTTTTGGTTGTCACAGTGACCGGGGAACCAAAAAGCCTGTGGTGCCCTAAAGAGAAACACCGGCTCTAAGGGTCCTGGAGCCCTCTGCCTTTCTCTGTGTCATCGGCACACGTGAAGTTGGAGGCTGCTGCCAGGGTGACCGTGGGACACTTTGTGAAGCAAACGCTCGGGGCGGACAGCTGCTGGCCCCACCGGGAGCATCTTGAGGGCCGCAGAGGCTCTGTTTGCCCGTATTCCTGCGTGGGAGCTCAGTCGTCCTTGCAGTAGGGAGATCTGGGTGAGCCCGGCTGAAGTGGGCCATTACAGACCACCTGCTCGCTGGTTCTGTCCGCCAGCAGGAGCAGGACACTGGTCTGCTCGGGTTCCAACCGTATCCTTAGAATGACGCATTCTAGAATCTTAGAATGTGCCTTCAGGGCTTGGTCATCCTGTGCAAAGCTGAGCAGTGCCCTCCTTGGGACACCCGGGGAATGTACGCGACTGGCTGCTCTGAGAAAATGCCTTGCCACAAGGGGAAAACACCGCGTGGCTGTGACTTGAGCTGATCAGACCACTGCTGGCCTGTAGGGGGGCCTTAGTGAGCAGTGGATGGAGGAGCCCCTAGGAGAAGGCAGCCCATACCAGGGTGCATAGCTTGATGATAGGAGAGCTGGGTTTCAGCGCTTACCTGCTCCCTCGGCAGGCGCTCTTGTGCAGTGCACAAACTGTACAGCCGTACCTAGTGGCTGGATCTTTGTGCTCTCCATCTATCTGGTGACCCAGCCTTGGCTTCACTCAGGAGCCTGTCTCTCTGTGACTGTCCTGTGACAGCCTGAGCCTAACAGAATGTACCTCCTGGACTCTAGTTCCAAAGGGATGGGTCCAGGCTTCCAGTCCTCTGGCCTGACATCCAAGGCTGTCTACACTCTGCATCCACTTTGCTTTTCTACCCGTTACACCCCAGACTTTCTTCTAGGCAGCCTGCCATAGTCATCACCTCTGAAAGAATGCTGGGATATGTCATCTCCACATTCATGCTCTTCCTTTATCCTCCTTGTTATCCAACTACTTGAAGGCCTGGCTCATTTTTGCTCCTCTGGGAAGCCCTCTGCGTTAGCCCCAGCTCAGGAGTCCTCCCATTGGTCCTGGCTCCACAGCTCGTGTTCTGGGAGTCTTGCTCCCTAAGAAGATGATAGTTTCCTGGAAGGCAGGACCCTCATCGGAGGAGAGCTGGACCACAGGCTTCCTTACTTAAGACTCCCTAAGCAGTTACCGTGGTAATGAACAGTTTCTCTTCCCGTTCTCTCTGATCAAAACAAACAGACAGATAGACTGTGGAAGAGCAAGGCATTTGGCTCCCTGCCTGGACCAGCCCTGAGAGCGTCAGGACAAGGACTAGGCCAAATCCGTGAGCCTGGTTAAGCGGCCCAAGAGCTCACCTGGGATGCTTTGGCCCCATCTTAAAGAAAGTGCTTCATCCTGGAGACTGGCCCCTCTGTGGCCCACATGCCCAAGCGTCAGAGCAGGAAGTACCCTCTCCCATGTGCCACTTGGAGACCACGCTGGCCAAAGCTCCCATAACAAGAAAAACAGCCGCGTGTGCTCAGGTGGCGGCCTGATGTGTAAGGTGGCTGGGTCAGATTTACGAGTTTAAGAAAGACGTGCTTTGGATGGTTTCTAAGATCTTTCGTGAGTTTGCAGCAGTCCTGGACCAAATAAGGACTCAAATCCATCACACCCCCGCCCAGCAAATGTTTCAGAAGGTGCCTGGAGAGGGGTGTCTGTTCTGAGTTCCTCGAGTCCTGCCAACATTCCACAGGTATTGAGAGCCCGTCTGTGATCCAGGCACACACAGCTGGGAACAGGACAGACAGACCTCCCCGCCTTCGTGGGATACTGCCCTGTCTGCTCTTCACATGAGCCAAGCACTTCAGCAGGTGTCAGGGCTGTGACAGGAGCTCCTGGTAGGGAACACAGCAGACTCACCTTTCAGAAATATCTCCTCCGACTCCACTGTTGAGAGTATGGTCTGTGGCCCAGCAGCATCAGCACCACCTGGGAGCATCACAGAAAGCAGAGCCTCAGGCTCCTCGAGACCTGCGGAAGGAAACTGCACCTTCACAAGCCCCCGGGGACCACGGCTCCCCCACACCGTGCTGGCAGGCTGGGCCCGGCGCTGGGCTGCGGGTGGGACTGACCTGGCACTTGCAAGGCTGGGCTCTGCTCCCCGCTCTGGCCCCCAGCTGCTGCGTGGCCTCTGGCAGGCCTCTTCCCTGGGCCTCAGCCCCTTCTCTTCAGTGTCTGGAATAATGGTACCCTCCCCCTGCCCCCATGGAAGGCTGCTGCGAGCCCACACCCAGTGTGTGGGACGGCCCCGGCACCTCACGTTATGGCTCAGTGCCTGCTTCTCTACAGGTCCTTTCCGGGGCTCCCTTGGGCGTGTGCTGCCCCAGGCTGGCAGATCCAGATCACGTCAGAGCCGGCCCAACCATCCCTCTCTCAGAGACACAGATCTGCAGCCTCCAGATCGAACCGATGGAATCTCAGACATGAGGATGAGACTCCTGTTGTGCGGTCAGTCAAAACCCCGGGATAAATTTTCTCTGCTTCTTGGGATGACACTTAGTCACTCAGTTTATGATGCTTCCCTGACTTTGGGACACAGCGTAGGGTAGTGGTAGTGGAGTCATCCAGGCGCAGCCTCGAGTGTTGGCTGTGTGACCCAGGGCAAATGACTTACCCTCTCTGAGCGTCATCATGCTCATCTGTAACTGGCGTGAATAACAGTACTCATGTCATGAGGCTGCTGTCGGGGGCTGGCACACGATCAGCGCTTCCTAAAGAGGAGCTACTGTTATTGCTCTTATTTGGACACTGGTCACAAGCGGGGATTCTGGGGGATGCCGTAACAGAATATTTTTAAAATCTCTTTGAAAAACTTTAACAAATTAAAAAATAAAATTAAAAAGCCTGTTCTTCCCTGCCTATAAAGTCAATATTTTGCATGAGGTTGGGCACACCCGATAAAGAAAAAGATTAACACGTAGAAATCAAGGGCTTCTCACAGTTGGAGGGCTCCCTCTGTCCCCGGGTCGTGCCCTCGGCCTCCCCTGCGGCCGCAGCTGGAGAGGGGGTCTGTCTGCAGGCCCTGGCGGTGGCCGCGGCTCTCCCGGACCTGACACGAAGCTCTCTTGCTGCACGTTGTCCCTTTGCCCCAGGGAGCGAGGCCAAGCAGGGGAGAACTTTCGTGTCATCCTTAACCCCAGGCCGCCCCACCCACCCCAACCCACCCCACCCCACCCCACCCCACTTCACCCCACCCCACCCCACCTCCGCGCTGCCTGGAGAGGTAGGAATCCGCGGGCAGAGGGTCAGCCCCTCCCGTGGCTTCTGTGACCTCCCATCCCACGGCCAGCGTTGGGGGGGGGGGGGGGGTGGTGGTACAAGGACAGCACCCGGAGGGCCCTGCCCTGAGCAGGCATCTGCGGTGGGTGAGGGACTGGCTCGCGGCCGCAGTGGCTCAGATGGACGGACGAGTGGCTGAGCCACGCGAGCAGCGTCGCGTTTGCCCTTCCATCTAATAATGCGGCTGTCCGCACGGTATTTGGGGCGGGAAGACAAGCATGTCTACAGCAGCTCACCAGTCCAGGCAGCGTCCGGAGGGGCTAAGGACAGGCTTTGGAGCCACACTGAGTTAAACCAGGCTGTTACTTCCTAGCTGTGTGACCTCAGGGAAATTGTTCAACCTCTCTGTGCACCAGTTTCTTCATCTGTAAAATGGAATATAATCATACCTACTACATGGGACTAATGTGAGTATTAAAATGAGTTGATAAATTTCAAGCAATGAAAATACTACCTGGCCCATATATAGCAAGAAGTCTATCAGTGTTAGATATTCTAATTGTTGTTATTGACTTAAGTTCCATGAAGGTAGGAATCTTTCTTTGGTTACTTGTCTGTTATGGAACAGTGCCTGGTACTTAATAGGCTCTCCATAAGTATTTGTTGGGTGAATATGTATTATTATTATTATCAAATAAAACTTTTGTCATGCAGACAATATTTATTTTGGCCAGCAGATGGCAGCAAATAGCCATGACTGACAATTATGGGAAAGGGTGGTTTAAGCATTAACGTTGAAGGCTCACCGAACGGTCCCTCCGGAGCCAGCTGGTGGGTTGAAAGGTGGCCGTTGCACCTGTAGGAGTAGCCCCACCCCTCCCACTCGCTTTTGTGCAGGTTCGAGTGAGTGGTGGAAATTCCAACTGTCAACAAATGGTTTCCATTTTTTCTCACAGGACCAACTTTCAATGTCCTTCCCCCCTTCATTTCTCGCTCCCTCTCTCCCTTCTTTCTCTTCTTCTTCCTTTCTTTCTCTAGCTATCTCTTTCTCTCTCTCACACACACACCGACTTCTCCATATCAAGCTAGTATACTGTACACACTCGCAGATTTTATCTGCACAACTGCAGCTTATCTTCAAATCACGAAGTCTGGAGTGTGTATCCTTATGCAGTATCCCCCCAACCAACCAGTGATGCTAAATGTGGTATACTAAGAAGAACATCTGATTCGATACAACTGGACCCAGAGAGGTCCTGTAACTTGGCTAAGGATGCACAGCAATTAGTTGTAGAGACAGCACACAAGCCAGGGTCTTCTGCTCTGTCCATCCTACCAGGGCATCACTCGCTTCTCTTTACCCACAGCGGAGGCTCAAGTGGTCTCCGTGTATTGATCCAATCACCGTAGCCCTTAGCTTCTGGCCCCGGATTCCCCTGGGCTCTGGCACAGAGAAGAAGACTGCTTTCCAGGGTAGCTCCCTGGTTGGTCCAGGGACTGTGGACAGGAGGCCACCGCTGCCTGCTTGTTCTCCAGCTCACTGGGCAAAGCTCTCATGTTTTCGCTGTGACCCAGTGCAAGTCCATCTTCCCCGGATGGTGCGTTTCCTCCTCGGCACTGATGGGGCCACATAGGCAAAATCAAAGGTGCGCTCCCTGGGAGCCCCCAGGGATGAGCCCAGACTGCTCTACTGTCACCAGCAGCTGCTGGCACAGCTGGTGGCTGGAAGCCCGCCCCCCCCCCACACCCCGTCAGCCTCACAGCTGCTCCAGAGTCTCAGCCCAGGGGTGGCCCACGGCCATGCTCCCCCAATTTGTCTTTCCCGACTATTATCTAAAAAGTCATGCTGGGGTAACTATTTAGAAAAAATATTTAATTGAGGTTCCTGCTGAAAAGCAAATTCCATATGAATGGACGAGATAAAGAAAGAAAATTTAAAAACTAGAAAAACTATGGGTGCCTTAGTCTCATCTTAGATTAGGAAGATTTCCTTAGGTATTGCAGGAAAGATAGAAACTCTTCAGGAAACTTACAGATTTGATTACATAAAAATTCAAAAGCTCTATGCCCCAGGAAGCATCAAAAACAAAATTAAAAGCAGCCAACAAATTGGGAAAAATTTGGCTACTCATACAAGAGACAAAGGATGACTATCCTAAGTCGGGATATCAGAGGACGACTGAGGAAGAGTCTGAACTGACTACCTGAGAGCATAAGCTGACAGGAATAGGGAGCACGTTCCATCTCACTGCTCATGAAATAAATGCAAATTCAACTTTTTTTGTCTTTTGCCTCTTGAAGTGGAAAATAATAGTGCCTCGTGTCAGTGAGGAGGCAAAGCCACAGGCCCCCTCATTCTGCTGGAGGCACATTCTGGAGGACACTTAAGCTAACAGGTGCCCACGACAACTGCTTTCTCCGTGGCCTTAACCCCATCACTGCATTTATTTATTGCCTATTGCCCTCCCCGCCTTCCCCTCCAGGTCAATAATTCCCCTTGATGGCAGAGACCTTGCTGACTGATCTGTCCCACGTGCCTAGAACAGCTCCTGGCTTATGGGATGCTCGACATACACTGAATGAATGAATGAAGGATTGAACTCTGGCCCCGGTACCTCTACTCTTAGGAACTGATCCTAAGGCAACAATCAGGGATTTACGAAAAGATTTACATCTGAGATGTTCACTTCAGCATATGTTGTAATAGTCAACCTTTGAAGGCCATTTAAATGTCCAATAATAGAGGATTAATAAACAAATTATGACACATCCTTATTAGAGACTACCATAATAAAGTCATTAAAATCATGTTGTGGATGATATAATGACATGGAAAGATTTTCTAGATATAGTGTATTGTGAAAAAGGCAGGTTACATAATACTGTTTTCTAGAGAATTTCTGGAGACATTCTCCAGAAATTTTCTGTATATAACATGATCCTAATTCATATATATATATATGATTTGATATATGCGTGCATAAAATATGAAATATGCATATATACATGAATATATGCATTAAAAACTTGTGTGGGAACACATTCCAACATTTTAACAGTATTTATCTCTGGGTGGTGTGATTATGAAAAATTTACCTTTTTTCTTTATTCTTTTATGTATTTTTCCAACATTGTTACAAGCTTGTTTTGCGTCTGAGATCAGATAAACGTAGCGCCCACGTTCCTCAAGGGGACCCTGGTTCCAGGTAGCTAAGAGCCCCGGGCGACCTGCGTCAACAGAGGACAGAGTGGCTGCGTAACCTCACTGACACGAGGCCTTCCACCAACAAAGGGGGCTCTCGGAGCGTGGAGGCAGCTCTCCAGCGTCTGGCCTTCCTGGCGCGGCTGGCGCAGCATTTCACCCCGCGCGCGAGGGATGGGGCCAGGCATGCGGGGCGGAAGGATGCTCGGTGTTGACCGCTCCTGTTTGTAGCTCACTTTCCGTCTCTCAGTGTCCCTGGACTGGAGATAGGCCCTGCTGAACCCGCAGTGGAGAGCACCCCGACCTTGACCCACTCCGGTCAAAGAGCTGCTGGATACAGAAGCCGCCTGAGGGGGCTCAGAGCCTCCGAGGAGCCGGGCAGAGCGACGAGAAGGGGTCTGCGGGGCTGCAGAATCAATAAATGCCTGGAGTCTATTTACACCAGCACCCCAGACCCCCATGCCAGCACCTCCGTCCGCAGCGGGGCTGGACCAGGCGCCCCAGTTGCTGCAGGACCTCATGAACCCACAGCCTCCTTCACGAGCCTTAGACTCAACCACCTGTTAAAGGGCTGAGGGCACATCTGCCCCGAGGGTCCCAGAGCAAAGTTATAAGGAGAGCCGGGACCAGAACTCCCTAACAAGCGGTAATTGTTATGGAGCAACCCCAAATGTCCCGGATTCCCAGGTCTGACTTGGTCCTGAGGACCGGCTGGGCGATAGCTGTCATCCTCCCTTTGGCCAGGAGAGGGCAGACACTTGCCGTCGACGGAGGCGGAGAGCGGGCTGATACTCCTTTCTGCTGGAACAACATCTCCCAATAAGGTCATTCTGCTCCAAGGAGAGTTGCCGCTCAAAACAAAATCTTTGCCTCTTCTCCTGCAAATTTGCCTTAAAAGACAGTGGTTTCAGAGATTGAAGACCTCTCCCTAGTCCTGATTTTCTCCCTTCACCGCCCTGAGCCTCCTTCTTTATTATGTGGAGGAGGATCCGCGCTGTGTGGCTACGAGGAGGTGATATTAGGGGAAAATATGTAAATTGTAAAGTCCCATGTTACAGAACACATACACACAAAAAAAGCAGTTTAATAGCAATGGGGTGTGTGTCAGTGTGAGTGTGTGTGGGGGGACCTGGACAAAGGAGAGAGGTCCAGGCGGCGGGACACTTTTCTGGTCGCGGGTGAATATATATTTATAAATTCCCAGGCAATTGAAACCAGTCCATTTTGCACCTGGAAAGCACTTTCCTTTTACTTATATTTCAAACTGTGCTTATTTTTTTTTTTTAGAGATTTTATTTTTTCCTTTTTCTCCCCAAAGCCCCCCGGGTACATAGTTGTGTATTCTTTGTTGTGGGTTCTTCTAGTTGTGGCATGTGGAACGCTGCCTCAGCGTGGTTTGATGAGCAGTGCCATGTCCGCGCCCAGGATTCGAACTAACGAAACACTGGGCCGCCTGCAGCGGAGCGCGCGAACTTAACCACTCGGCCACGGGGCCAGCCCCTGAAACTGTGCTTATTTTAAAAGTTAAAGACGTGTTTTACCTATTGAATCTGCGTATGAGAAAGTGAAATATCACAGGGATACAAGTCAAGTCCCACAATTAAGTTGATAAATATGGCTGAATGCAAAAAGGAAGGTGTTGATGATATTCAACTTTAAATCTTTAGGTGTTTGAGAGGTTACATTGTCATGAAAGGCAAAAAAGTAAGATGTGAGTATTTTTTAACATC